ATTGTGGAATTGCAATTGTGAACATAATATGTGAGACATGAAACCCTAAAATCATTGTCTACTTAAACCTTCATTTTATGCACCACTGCACACATTTAAGTGGAGAGAAATCTGGAAGGCCACAACACAACATGATGATTATCGGTTCAGTAAGGGAGAGGGTAACAAGCTAGATAAAAATTCCCAAAATAGCTAAAAACGAGAACTGAGTAACATATGGAATGAAACTACGGGTAGTTTAGACTTTTTGTGGTATAAGATGTGAAAAACAGCTTCTTGATGCATTTGATCGAGAGAATGCCCCTATGTCAATGAGAAAGAAGGCCAAAATCTTGTTTATCATGTTGTATGGTCTTATCCAGTACTACCAAAGACACCTTAAATGTTGTGCCGAGTTGATTTGTGAAACCTTTTTCTTACTGATTTTTCCTAATAATAAGTAAACACCATCATTGATGAACAAATTTCAGAATACTCTACAAAGAAATATTCAATTTAAACAAAATCAAACACCAAATGCGCAGATCTCATCATTACCGACGGCAGAAGCATTCCTAAAAATCTTCACTTCCAAATTGAAAAAATACACAAGATATTTAACCAAATATGTCAAGAAAAACTTACTATCAGTTGTGGGTAAATTCTGCTGATCATTTTCAGAAAAGATGGGATCTATTGCTTTCTTAACCAATCGCATATGTCTCTTTATCTTTACCTGTTAAAATAGCACAGAATATATGAGTAATTGCAAAAGAAGTGAACCATAGACAACGAACTTATCATAAGATTAAACGAATTACCCGCTTCTTCATCTGACATACATATGGACATGTTGGGCAGAAAAATCGGGCAGAGTGCCCAGTATTAGGCAGCTCATACAGCAGCATATTCCCACAAGTCGGGCAAAATTCCATTTCCACTCAAAGAGCTAATTCAACAATGTGTTCGTAGTTCACACAGCATGTACATGGCGTAAAAAAGAATCTATAGAACGGAAAAAAATAAAGAAAAATATCACTTTTTGCAACTTATATCTATTATCGAGAAATTGTAATTGCAACAGGATTGATTAATAAGTATCAAATCCCATAAATAAATAAATAAATCTAATCAACCATAAAACAAGAATTCACAGAGTACAAGTTAACCCATATTACATTGTTCAATCGACTCAGAAATTTAGCTTGCAAAAATTTGAGACTATTCAGCAAACAGGCATTGTTAACAAACATCTTGCAAACATAAATTTGAAAGCAGGAATTGCGAATTTCTTACATCTATATATAACAAAGATAATTTTTTCTCTCTTAAATTTACTTTGATTTAGCAAAAAGGCCATAAAGGTACTTGCCTGTGCAACAATCTGAGCGTTGAGTTGATGAAGTAGGGGTTAGACGAGTACTTCAAACCTAAAGCCCCAATTCGAAAAGATGAACTTTATTTAACTATTTATTACAATGAAGGACCCCCAAACTTTTAAATTTGTCTCAATTTTGTCCCCAATAATTTAAATAGAACGAATAAATATTGTAGTTTTATATGATTTTGTCAGTTAAATTAAATTCTTTATATTTTATCAGTTGTCATTTGCCTTGTGTAGTTGTTAAGACCGAATTCAAGTCACTTTGGATCTTTTAGTATATCTAGCAATGATTTAAAAAAAAAAAAAAA